AGAAAGCACAGTCCTTGGAAAAAGCACAGACTTCCATCACAAGATGTAGCCTGGCTTAAAACAGCCAGAAATTAGTGGGAAACATGTTTTACATTCTAAATATAGCTTGTGCTGCTTTGTCACAGCGGAAAGCAGCTTCGCAGTAGCTGGCTTTGAAGCACAATTAACTAATTGTTATTGAACTAATCAGCATCGCTCCCGCAGCATTCCTGATGGCAGCATTCCTGATGGCACGGAGGTTCTGCTGCACAGGGGAAGCTCCTTCCCTTGCTCCCGCTGCTCTTACACAGGCAGTGTAAGAAAATGGCCAATAAACACCAAACATTTTTCTCTCGTGCTGCTTTTCCTTCATACGAGGGAGTGACTGCAAACATCTGGAGATCCGCCTTTTTGGTCTTGAGAGGTACCATCCTTGCATTCCTTCTCTAAGCCCTTACTGCAGGAAAGCCCTTTGTGTTCCACTTTGCCTGTTCTGCAGATCAGTCTCGCTGTTTTATCTCGTGACCTTCTGTTTGTTGTGTTGTGTTTGGCTTTTGAATCCACTTAACTGTTGCTTATCTACTTGAGGGCAGTGGCCACAGCTGAAGAAGAAACAATCTGTTCTCCGTGCCACTGCAGGGATATAACTGAAATACATTGAGGATGGTTTAGGTTAGGCATCAAAAAATAATTATTTTATGAGTTACTGTTATGTATTTTATATATATCTCTAATTTATTTTTATTTTTAAAATAGCAGTATTATTCATATCCCTGTTTTAAGAGTTCTTAAAATAGAGATATGCTGGCGGAGCTTGTGTGGGAATGGCAGGGCAATCTGGAAAGTCAGTGATGGAAATGACATGAACATCTGACCAGCAAGCTGATCCTGGTGTGACACAGGAGGGTGATGTCTGAGCCCTCTCCAAACCCTTCCCAGCCCTATTTTCCAGGGCTGTGTGTGCCAGGAACCAGTGAGTAAACTTTGGAGGCACTGGTGTGCAAGATTTAACCATCAGCACATGCTCCAGTGAATGTTGCTGTGCCTTCTCCCTGTTTTTACTCACTAGTTTGATAACATTACAGCTGATACTCAGAACCTGCTACAAACACTCCTCCATTGTAATGTGGAGACGTACAGATTAGAGGATTTTGGGGCCTGGAGCTGTCTCTTTGTTCTGTGTTTATGCAACACATTGTGCAATGAGATTCTGGCCTTTAGGTGCTAACACCAAAATGCAAATATATCGATTACTAGGGAGTAAAGGCAGATATGTTCACCAAGGCATGCTTTGATGAACTGAGGGAAAGGCTTGCTGGATAGAAAAGGATCAGAGGTCTTTACAAAACAGAAATTCGCTTGGGATTGTTTGGGATCAAGGTGATGCTCAGGAAATCTTCAGCCTCTTTCACTGCATTTTTCTCCTTGTTTTTGGCCTACATGTTTATTCAAATGGCATGTGAGCATCAGGGAATCTTGTCCCAGACTTGTCCGTGAATTTCCTGGCATAATACTGGCATTACAGAAACAATTAGAAAACCAGTAGAGGAGAAATCCTGTGCTACCCAGAAACTGGAGCAGATATAAGAGCAGCAAGGAATGCTTCACAAAACTAGTTATTAAGTTTACACAATGAATCACAAGGATTTGTAGCCTACCTGTGCCACAGAGCATCGTGGTGACTGTCACTGAGAAAAGGAATAGTAGTTTCATATTGATGAAAAGCTCTCAGTGCCACACAACCCAGAGAGAAAATATCCCAAGTGAGAAGAGCTGAGGTGAACCCTCTGCAGTGCACAGAGCTCTGGAGCAGGCAGGCCACCAGGGATTTTAAACACCTTCTCTTTAAAGGTTATAAGCATTTGCAAGCTCAAATTGCCTGCAGTGAGAGCAGAGGCTGCTCGGTATGGCTGGAAAATGAGGGCAGTAATATGTTTGAATGTGGATTTAGATGTGTAACTTTATTTATGGGCTCATTTTGACACTCTCACCACGTTTCTAGATAGATTTGTTGTCTTTATGTGATCCTGCCAACATCAGCCCAGCACATATTTGTTATTATTTTTTACTAATTACTGTACAACCTGCTCAGTCTTTCTCCTTACGTTTTGACTGAGAGAGAGTTTCAAGGAGAGAATCTCAAAGGTAAATTGAAATCAGATAAGAAAAGAGATGTTTACAAATATCTGCCTGAGATTTCAAGGCAGGGTACGTGCACCGAATTAGACTTCGTGAATGCACAGATATTATTTTCAGAGGGAGTGAAATGCTTTCCCCCTGCCAAGAGCTGTGTTTGGACCCTCAGGGGTCTGTGTAGCTCCTGCTATAGTTGATAATGTCACTGACACCTAAAGCAGTGTGAGGAATGCAGCTTTAACCTTGCTTTTTATGTACTGGAGATTTCAACAGCCATGAAAAATTTCGAGCTCAGTAATCTCGAACTGCATTCCTAGAAGGTAAAAGCCTTTTGAGTTCACCTTTAAAATGCACTTGCTTTTATTGGCACAGGCTGTCCATATATTCGGGGAATGGTTTAGGATTGCAAACAGGTAGGGTCTTTAGGGATGTGTTTCCTTCTTTTTGAAGTATTTCATTTCACCCTTAATGGGACGTGCTGTCTGCACAGAGCCACATCAAGCAGCAGCAGCACTTTTCTGCTGTCCCTTGCTGTCAACAAGAAATCTGTGCTTAGAAGAGGAGGGACACATCAGCCTTTGAAAGTTGAACAGAGGGACAGACTCAAAGGGCACAAAACCAAACAATTTGCATCTCGTGGAGGCTCTGGGGTAGCGAAGAGAAATGTCTTTTTCCACACTGTATTTTCTTTTCTTCCTCCCATCAAATTTTCCGCTGCCTTGCCAGCAAAAGTGCAGCTCCAACAGCAAATGTGTCAATGCAGAGTTATCCCTGGCAGTTTTTAACCACTGTGTTTCTCAGATGTACTCCAGGAAGGGTTTGAGAAAGAGCATTGTTTTTCTGGCAGTGGGTTGCACACGCCATCCCTTCTGATGGTCACATCTCGGAAGCAGTGTTTGTTCCAGGCTGGCACATGGCATCCAAACAAAAATGCTCTTGTAGGTGCTGCTTCAGACTTGGGTGTTGAGAGCACTTTGAAGCTGTCAGCTCAGGACAGACAGTAGTGTCAGTCCTTAGAAAGAAAATACACTGCTGAAGTGTTCCATTTTCTTCTGTGATTGTGCATATTCCTGTTTCCCTGAACGTGTCATCTTACAAATCTCCCAGATGTGTCTCAGGTTTGTGCTCTGTGATCAGTTCGGCCTCACGCTATGGTTTGTGCTGTGAAAGTCTCAAAATATTGAGGTTTTTGGTCCTTAGCAGCACTCAGTTGCACTGAGGGCAGCCAGCCAGCCAGCTGCTGCTGCCTGTGCTCCTCCACCGAGCACTGAAGGCAGGGCAGCAATTAGATAAGTGCACCCCTAGGAACAAGCTGCGCTTTACTGATGGTCACTGTCACCTCATGCGTTCACCATCCAGCCAAAAAGGAAACAAAAAAAAATATAATAAACAAATAGTTTAAATGGAGCCCTGGGATAAAGGCTATTTTCAATTTTACCTTCCACGTTTTAATTGTATAGCGATAATTTTGCAATGGAGTTGCCGATGGCAAACATGCAAAAGACATTAACTTTATTTATGTTTTGGATTATTAATGTGGCTGTTAAAATTCCTCCAGTTAGTTTTGATTGAATTGTTTTTTTGTGCGATTCTGTCGTTTAATGGAGCGGTAAATAAGAATTTCTGATAATGAGCCCAAGCATCTGTCACAACAACCTGGCGCTGGTTATTAACATTTCCATTAACGGCAGGGTGGGCAGTGATAATATGGAAACCACACAGTTAGAACAAAATAAATAGTTGGTGTCAGGCTGAGTGGGTGTTAATTACTTTTTTATTTTATAACTCTGGGGGGAGGGAGTATTGGTGGAAAAGTGTGACTTATGAAGGTCATTCTCTCTTAAGAAAGAAGTCTCCAGAGGGACAGCTAACCGGGGCTATCCAGCTCGAGTGGTGAATATTTTATCACTTCTATTTATGGCCCATAAAGAGGCAGAGAGAAAAGAGACAACTCTCTCAGGTGGGCAGAGTGAGGGCTATGGCACCGTGAGCATGGAGAAAGGAGGAGTGTACCCTTTGCCCTGCCTTTCTCTCTCTACTTCTGGAGTTTGAACAGGACACGCTTCGGCACCTTTTTCTGTGAACAGAACGTGAGCTGTTCTGTTAAAACCTGCCGGAGGCAGAGACAGCAGGTCAGGAAAACAGAGTGTCCTCTCTAGCCACTGGGGAGGAAAATCCACCTGCACCAAGTTGGAGCCTGACAAAGGGAAGGATGGAGTGACCCAGGTGCACTTAAGGATCAGTTTTTTAGCACAGCACAATGCAAAGAATGCCATCAGGAGCCAAAGTGAGCCAGCATGTGCATGTGGAGGTGTAATCAAAGCAGAGCTAACAAGCAGCAAACTAAAAGTCTTTTTGTCATACATAAAATATTAGTGAGTTGATTAGTGTCTGACTGGGTTTGGAGGTAATATTAGGCAGTATTTTGGCCCTAAGTCCTGGAGCCTTGGGAGCAAGTTGTTGTAAGAGCTGCTGCTGAGAGGGAGCCCAGGGTGATGGTGACAGGGAATCCTTGCTCACGGTGACTTGCAGGAGCAGCCAATCAGGAGCATCAACCACTGACAAAGGCAAGCCCCAAACAGTACCAGAGAACCAAGACAAAATTCTCTTTTCTTTTCCAAAGCTGCTGGCAGGACTGAATTGATTCAGTGTCTAACTCAGCCTGCATGGAACAGAACACAACCACATCCTGAGGCTCAGCTGCTCCTCACTCCACGTGTACTGAGACATGCCGGTGATTCAGATACCCTGGGGCTGGCTCCCTGTGCTGACTTGTGGCATAAACAGAGTCTGTCCTGGGTACTTCTGCAAATAGAAAACTGCAGCCTGGATATGAACTAGTTCTGCTTGTCACTATTAATTCTTCTGCCCTCCTTTGTCTCTAGCACCAGCGCTGGCCCCACAGAACATCCAAGTAAACTCCCTTTCTGCAAGCCAGCTGGAGCTCACCTGGGACCCCCCTCCTGCCGACAGCCAAAATGGGAACATCCAAGGCTACAAGGCAATCCTCCTGTTTCTACTGTTTTCATTTATCTTGCTTGGCATTGCTATTTACTTGTGAGATAGCTCTACAAACTGCAGTTGCCCTCACCGCATAAGGCAAATTAAAACAGCGTTCAGAATGCAGTACAGAAACAGCACTAAGTCCCTAAACCAAAAGAAAGAGAATGAGATTGGGAGGGGGAGAGGAGAGAAAAGGGAAAGTGTGTTGTTATTTATGGACAAATAGAGCATGGGGAAACAGGGCATGCAGATAAGGAGGTAGCTCCACTTATGCAGGCAACATATCTGCTCCAAAAAGCAACACAGACACATAAGAGCTGGGGGCAAGAAATGTATTGAAGAAAATTAACTGAGCTTTCTAGCTATCAAATGGTACAAGCCTTTAGGAAGAGCAGAACTTTCTCCCAGCTAGAAGCCTGAGCCAGATCAGATTTTGGAAGAATTACTTCATTTCCTTAACTCTAACAAAATTAAGTCGGAGTATTAATTGCATTTGGTTCATAGGAGATGAGCACGTTGCAGAGGCACGTTGCTCAGCATCTCCAGCATGAGAATGGACCCTCAGAGAGTGGAAATGGGCAAGTCTACAAACACTGGAGCTTGGCTTGGGTTCAGTGTCTGGCTCTGCCTCTCTCCATGAATTTAGATCCATAAGTGAAGGAAAGCCAAGCCAATGTGAATAATCTGGCATCCCTTCTTGGCAGTAACAAGCATCCTTATATATCAATTCCTGTCCTTTCCCTTTTGTACATATATAGATGGCTTTAGCAGCTTGGCTTGGAGAGCCAAGGTGGAGTCTTGCCTTGGCTTGTTCTCTCGACTCTCTAGCTTGCTTTGGCCTGTTGTAAGGCTCTCGCTGCCAGGCCTGTCCAATAAGTAGGGCTGGCACCACTTTTCCTCTTGGAAACAACTTCTCCAAAGCCTAATTTTACAGCACAGGGATAAAAATTATGTAAGGGAAGCATGGGGGAAAGCACCTCAAGGAGCTTTAGGGAAAAACTTTATTACCCTCTTCAGGGAGGCATTTGCCTGGCTGTCCTGTGAACACCAGTGATGTAACCATTGTGTGTGTACAGAGGTGAGCTGTGGGCCATTGTATCAGGATGCCAGTGCTGACAGGCAGCTTGCTTTGCAGGGAGAATTTAAAACTGACCTCTCCTCGTTGAACTCTGGCAGCTCATATCTGCTGTCACTAGGCCATATTCTTCAGCCTGTGCTCTGTTTTTGAATGATGTACTCAGCTGCATGGTCTCTGGACTCAGGGGAATTTGCCAAAGGGAAAGGTTTGGCACATGCTGAAAAACCTTAGTATCCTATTTAACAGAGGAGTCCAGAGCAAGGCTTGCACCATCTTCCTGGTCTTTTATAGCTGCAATGCCCAGATATTTTCTAGGTGTAGGATATACTAGAACATTTGATAGGATGAGAGGAAATGGCCTCAAGTTGTGCCAGGGGAGGTTTAGATTAGATAATTAGGAAAAATCTCTTCACTGAAAGAGTAGTTAGACATTGGAACAGGCTGCCCTGGGAAGTGGTGGAATTGCCATCCCTGGAAGTGTTCAGAGTGTTGACGTGGCACTTGGGGCCATGGTTTAGTGGTGAACACTGTGAGGCTGGGTTCATGGTTTAGCTCATGATCTTAGGGGGCTTTTCCAACCTTAGTGATTCTCTCTCTTACTGTCCCAACAGATTTATTACTGGGAGAGTGACACCCAGAATGACACGGAGAAAGTGAAGGTCCTTTTCCTCCCGGAGACAACGGTCCGGCTGAAGAACCTGACGAGCCACACGCGGTACATGGTCTGCATCTCCGCCTTCAACGCCGCCGGGGACGGCCCCCGGAGCAGCCCCTCGCAGGGCAGGACGCACCAGGCGGGTACGGGAGCGCTGTCCTGTCCCACAGCTCAGACCTGGGGATGGCCAGCACGGACCTGGGCAGTGGCCAAGGGAAATGGGGGCATGCAGAAGGGCACCGGTGTTTGGGTTTACGTTGTAATGGTCTTGAAGGGTGGGGAAAAAAGCATCCAGTAAGTGGAGTGTGTGGGAGGGATAGAGCAGAAGAGAGAATGGAGTCGCAGAAGGACCACTCCCTTCACAAGCTGGCCTAGAAGGAACCGGTCGGTGGGACTGTTTCTGGTTTCCGCTGTCATACCTGGAAATGCCAAGGAACTCATCTCCAGTGCCTGGAAGTTGCCCAGACATTCCTGTGAGATGATTAGCATGCTTTTTAGAATTCCTTCTTATTGTTTTTAAAACTGGATCAGCAGCCACCCAATCAGGCTGAGCAGTGCCTGTGCTGGACATTCTGTGGTGGGAGTGCTCTGGTGCAGGGTAAAGGCAATGCCCTTGGTGGTGGCTGTGAAGAGGAGCTGTGTACTCAGTCTCTGTGCTCTCATAGCATACTTCTGAGGGTCCTTCCCTTCTGTGTCCTATCTCCTTGTTTGCTTTCAGTTTTGCAGCTGAGTGCCTGTGTTTTTAGGACAGGCTGGGTTTCTGACTGATTACGGGACATTTGTAGACAATTGATAAATCCCGTTCTCAGCTTGTTTCCTTTAGATTTAGGCTGGGCAAACAAACCAATGTTTTATAATATATATGTATATCAGCTTGACTACTTCTCCTGCAATTCAATCTGTGTGTAATCCTTTCAGCACCCAGTGCTCCCAGCTTCTTGGCGTTCTCTGAAATCACTTGCACTACACTCAATGTGTCTTGGGGCGAGCCGACAGCAGCAAATGGAGTCCTGCAGGGTTATCGAGTAGTCTATGAGCCTCTGGCTCCCGTCCAGGGTAAGAAAGACCTCTGTTCATACATATTCATGGAGAAGTGACAGAATAGTACTGTAGTATCTTTCATCTCTGCCCAATTTCCCACTTGCTCTCTGCCGTTTTCCAAGAGAAGCCAGGTGGCAAAGGGTAAGTAAAACAATTCCACTTTTGCCAAAACCGTTCAGCGAGCCATAATACTGTGGAATACGGCTTTTGTCTGTCCCCTCTCATTTTCTTGCACAAACTATAGTCTGTGTGATTTGAAAAGTCATTTTATGGCCGTCATTACCTGGTCTGGGCGAAGAGGAGGCTCAGCCTGAGAGTCCCTGATTGTCTCCCCGCGTCGCGCTTTGAAACTGCTGAGTAGGCTCCATCCCAGAATAGTCATCAGACACATTTGTATTGCTTATCACATCGTGTGTCACTTCTGTTATCACAGAGATTGCCTGGGCATCAAGTGTGCTCGTCGTCACTGGCACTGCTGCTGGCTGACAGGGGAGGGTGGCTGCTGTGGGGATGTAGATGTGTCTTTACAAAGAGTTTCTGAGCAGTGTTTTCAACCCAGCACTGGATTTTAAGTTAGACCACCACAGCGTGCTGGCCACAAATGTTTGGTTAATTTGCCAGAGCAGCAACAGAGAAGGATTTGGCAATACCCCTGAAAGCAAATGTAAATTCACTCCAAAGGTGAATTAGAAAAGATGACAAAGTTTGTGGATGGTCTTATTAATATTTTTATACTCCTGGTAGATTGCCAATCATTCAATAGGATGTCCAGCTTTGGCGGGGTGACAGCAGGGAGAGTAATTTCAGCCATTGTCAATCCATTTTAAACTCTTTTCCAAAGAAATAAGGATATCAATCACTTGTATTTGCTTTTTCTGTAAGGAATTATGATCTGTACTGTCTGAATATCCATGTCTCATGCACAGAGAAAGTTTTATGGAGGATTGAAAACACAAGAATAAAAGCACTGTCAGCCTTTACGGTTGGCAGGTCTGAGCACAAAGAGCTAATGCAGAAAGCATTTCTAATTCTGACCAAGAAATATGCACAGGGTATGCAGGAGGTTGGGGCTGTTTGGGCATTTCCTGCCTTTTATTCATTCCTACACAATGTTTAAGAATACATTTTTTTCCCCTGAAAATATGGAAGTGTCAGATCATGTTTTGTCTTCATGCATTTGACTTAACATCCTCAGAATCTTTGTTTTCCTTTCTTCTCTTCCCCACTTCTGCTTGTGCTGCCTCTGACTCCAGCTTGTCTCTCCTTCCCCTGATGTGAGCAGGGAGGTTATGGAGGGCTCTTCCTCAGATTGGAAATTTTTGCTTAAATTTATTTTCCAGTCTCTACCCATTTGCTCTTGTGACAACATTTTTCTTTCAGCAACTATATTTATTCTCCTGTCATGATAAGGAATCCCTCCCTTGATGCCATCATTTTCCTCTGATAGAAAAGCCATGCTCCTTCATTTAGAGAGCAAAGTAGAGCCAAATTTGAAGATGGAGCAGGAGACAGTGCTGAATGTAGCACAAGGCCTGTGGGGGCAGCACTGATGTATCCTGTGATCCCAGAGGATCATTCCAGCCCCAGGTCTCACATTCCTCCTTACCAGCACCACAGTGCAACAATAAGGATGGACCAGACCCTCTGGAACCTTTTCCTGCATCTTGTGACTTTCCACTCATTCATGATTTTTGGCTGAGCATCCTTGTCATGGTGACTCTCTTGCCATCCCACTCCCCCTCCCAACATTTACCTGCCCATTTTTTCAGGCTTTCCAACAGCAACCTGTTCTTTAGCAGTTTTCTCCCTGTTTGACCTTTTATTGTTTAAGCTTTACACTGTTATGTTTTACACAATAATAGACAACAGAATTGCCCTGGAGCCTTTTTTAACAGTTCTTTTTTTTTTTTTTTGAACATAACTTCAAACTGACAAATGCCTCCTGATTTGTCTCAGAGAAATGAAATAGTTCACCTAGAGAAGGAGTGGGAACTTTTACTGCTTCCTCGTTAGCCAAGGAAAGATTCCCTGAGTTATAAATTGTATCTGGGAGAAAACTTGGAACAGAAATCGCTTAGACATTATTCTTTAATTAACTTGTAAAAACTGAAAGCATCATCTTGATTTGCATAAAATAAGCATCTGGATTGAAAAACATCTTCCTTCTGCATTTTTTTGGAAAGATAAACTAGCAAGCAGCCATTTCTAGCATGAAAAACCTTTTCCCCCTTCCTGTCTTGGTTTGAAATTAGTTATGTACATCTACAGAACCAGAAAAATGCCAAAAGGACTCTCTAATTTGAACCTTCTGTTCTGTAAAATACTTTATAAATCAATTTCTTTCCCTTGACTTACTTGTAGAAAATTTCAGTGAAAACTAGATTTTTTTTTCTTTCAAAGCACTCATTGTCCCTCTGCCCTTTATGCAGCATTGAGAACCGAAAGGTGAAACTACTGTGCACCTTGATGAAGGAAACACCTCTGATTTTAATTCATCCCTGTAAGAAAAATTATGAGAGAATGAGAAGAGTGAAACACAAGTCACAACTCCAGCCTTTTTAAGATCGCAGTGCTTTGATTGCATCTCCTATTGTCGTGGCATTTGTAGCCCCCAGGTCCCTGTGAGGTGCACACATCCCTTATTCTGCATCCACGTGGTGATGGTGGACATGGCAGGATGAGGTGAATGGAACAAACCTGGCCCTTGTTTCCTCCTCCAGGCAGTGTTGCAGCTTATTTGGTGAAGCACCAATGGAGAAATGCTTGCTTAGGAAGCAGCCTGCAACGTGCACTCCTCTTCGTTTACCTCTCTCTTTCTTCCCAGAGTAATTAGTGAAGTTACATGTAGTCTCTTGGTAATTTCCCAGTTGTGTTGTAAGGTTTTTTCCTTGTCAGTACCCACTTATCAAGCTTAAACTCTAATTATACTTATCAGTGCTGAAAATTGGCTATTATCACTACTTAAACTCCTGCTAATTGTAAGAAATACTTTCTTAGCAAACTGTTAGATAATTTTACTTACCATCTAGATGTAATAAGCTCCACTTGATTTCTATTTTGGCATTGCAGCCTTCTCTTATTTTTTTATCTGCATGGCTGTTCCAGGGGTGAGCAAGGTGGTGACTGTGGACATTAAAGGGAACTGGCAGCGCTGGTTGAAGGTCCGTGATCTCACCAAGGGCATGACCTATTTATTCCGAGTGCAAGCCCGAACCATTGCCTATGGACCTGAACTTCAAGCCAACATCACAGCTGGGCCAGCAGAAGGTAAGTGGGACCATAAAAGCAAGTCACAGGCCAGATCAGTTATACAAACCTAGGGGAATAGTGCACTCAGGGCTTCACAGGAATCTCCAAGCCAAGGAGAAGCTGAGTCACAAGAGCTCAGGATGTGATTCAGTGGGTTTCACAACTGCCCATGAAAAACATGTTTCATTTCTCCTGAAATCCGTAAGTCTGATGTGAATAAACAAAACAGTGTAAATAAATCATAATGCAGACGGGGCTAGCCAGGGATTTCAGAGCTGCAGCCTGACAGCGCTGTGCATAATTCTGACTGTACTGCTCTGCGGTGGGAGTCAGAACTGGAATAACTGCCGGAACCAGCAGAGGTTCCTGGGTGTAAAACCAGAAAGAATTTACAATTATTCTCTCCTGACACGTTGGCTTATTCAGAGGGAGAGATCTGTGGATTTTTTGATGTGTCAAGAGCAGCTACAGGCTGTGCAGCAGTGCTGCCCGCTTGGGTCAGTGTCTGTACCTGAAGCCTGGTTTTCTTATTTGATCAGTGATTTTGATAAACACATAATCTAACAAGGTAAATGCCCTCCAATGATACCAGCCTGTCAGGTGAGTCACAGAACATCAGTGCAGTGGCCACAGTTCCTATTTTTGGTTGTTTTCCACATCCACAGTCTAACTCTCACACCACACCACAGAGAGTACAAAGCAAGAGTATCTTCTGTGACCGTGGCATCTTCCCAAGCCAGTGGGCAGTGGCTGTCCCCACAACCCTCTCCCTGAAACTTGGGAGGCTGGTTTCACCTCTGAAGTCAGAAATAGCAGTGGCAATGTGCAAAGTTTGTAATGCTAATGGGTAAAATGAGAGGGCTTTTTCCTCTTACCTTCTTCAGACAGGTACCTTATTCTTGGGACTGTCTGTGTAGGACCAGGAGTTGGACTTTGATGATCCTAGTGAGTCCCTTCCAGCTCAGGATGTTCTAGGATACTGTGACTCCATGACCTGTACACCCCAGCCATTGATGTTTAACTGCTGGTACTAGAACTAGTGAAAAAATTAGGACAGTAACATATTGAGCTGGTTTATGTTGCCTATTTGTTGACCAACATTGCTAGATAATTTTTTCCCCTAAATCAGTAGAAGAAATTCATACTACAGTCTGTCTCCGATGCCACCCCCATTTGCTATTCTCTTTTCATCCTTCAGGGTCTCCTGGCTCCCCTCAGGAAATTCTGGTGACAAAATCTGCTTCTGGGCTCACGCTACGGTGGACTGAGGGAGATTCAGGAGAAAAACCCACAACTGGCTACATTATAGAGGCACGACCCTCAGGTAAGCCATGGGAAACACAGTGAGTTTGATGTCATGAGTTCCCTTCCTTCAGTCCATGCTGGAAGCCATCCACAGTGGAGAGGTTGTTTGTCATCCCAGTAAGGTAATGGGATTTTGTGAGAGAACGTGTTTCCAGATGCTATTAAGCTGTTACTGGTTTATTATGTGGTTTAGCATATTTTCTCCTCTTTAGGAGCAGTCACAGAAAATTACCCCGACTGCTCTGGCTTTCACTGTGCTACATCACTGGAAAATCATCCAACAGATGAACTAATATAGTTAATAATTAAAAGTAATTTAAATGCTTACAGCATCTTTCATGCACAAGGACTAATAAGTATTTGCAAGCTCTATTTTGAGGACCACAGATAGAAATCTGTCCTCTTCTGCAGCAGAGCACAGCAGCTAATTACTGTTTTACTGTTAATAATGGGGCCAGGACTTCAGCACTGTGAACACATTGCTTCCCCCATTTGTTCTGCAGGGAGGGCATTGAGTTGGGGGGGAAGAAATCCCCTATCACCACAGCTTTTCCCAGAGCTTTCCCAGAACTCCTTTGCTTGTGGGATTTGCATCTTACTGAAGCTGTTCTCTCCTTTTTGTGGAATATTTTCCCACTTGGACAAGGTAATTTTAAAAGTCAGTGTGTGCTCCAGCCCGTTCGCAGCCTCTCCCAGCTTGGTACCCCTTGCAAATTCAATAAGCACACACTTTCTGGTAACTGAGTCATTAAGGAAAGCCAGTGAGTGCTGCCAGACCCCTGTGTAATCTCACTTGATAACTTCCCTGCACTCTGACAGTGAATGTTGATAACCCTTCTCCGGGTACAGTTTTCCAGCTGGTGATGCATCTACCAGATACTCGTTTCACGTGGGCCGTGTTTGAATGTCACCAAGTCAAAAGCTTTGCTGAAGTCAGGATAGATGATGTCTGCTCTTTCTCCTCTATTGACAGGGTCTGCTACTCTGTCACAGAAGGAAATTAGACATGATTTATACTTGACATATCCATGTTGGCTACTTGTTTTTTTTTTTTTTTACTTCTAGGTGCTTGCACACTGCTTGATTATGTATTGATTAAAGGAATGCTTATCTGTTTGATTGTATAAAGGACCCTGTTTCTTATTTGTGTCTTGAATGTAAGGTTGCATTTAAAAGCACTGATTCTAATTACATTTAACCAGACCAGTAACAAAAGTATTGCCTGCATTTCTGAGGTCATCCCTGAAGATGCAGATTTTCATACCTGTATCTGATAGGATTTGCTCTGTAGTGAGGCTCTGCTCTGACTCCAGAATTTCTTTCTTATTTCTGTCATTTAACTTGACAATTGTTTTCAAAACAAAGTCAAGGGAAATGTGTACCTTCTCCCTGGAGTTTCCCAGAGTGATCAAGTTTTCTTTCAATTAGAGGCATGACACTGCTGTGCTTCTATTTCACTTACATCAGCTTTTTGATTTCTGTCCTTATTTCTTCATAGGTAGAAAATACTTTCTTATTTGAACAGCACTGTTTAGGTAACAATTTAAACCAAACCTGTTCATTGAAGTTCACTTACCAGCTTACATTTTCCTCAAACAGATTTTTGTGAGTAAGAGTATTTTAGGGGGAAACCTGCAGCCCACGTACAGATTGTCTGCAAGCTTGGAAATTCAACTCGTGTGAGTGGTGACATTGCAAACTCATCTGTTTGTCTCACTGTTGGATGTGTACAAACATTTCACAGTTCATGGCTAAAGATGTAGGATTTGTGGCCCACTCTTTTTGAGTAGGAAGAAAATAGTCCCTCCAAGGCAGGTCTGAGCTGCATTAACCCTGGGTCACTTCTGCTGGCCCCACTCCACTGATCCTGGAAACACACAGAAGAGGTCTTATTCTCCTGCTCTTGCAACCTGACTGTTGAGGCATTTAATTCCTCTTCAGATTATTTTAATCCTATTCATGCTGCTGTAGCAAATGAACTCGGCATTTGTATGCTGGATTCTCATCCTTCGTTCTGGTGCAGCTGTAGGAAGCGTGAAATGTGATCCAGGAGAGGAGACAGACTAATTGGAAGATTTGCTTATTCCACCCAAGCGTCGGCTTCCTCTCTGTGCTGCTTTTCTTCCTCATCTCTGCACGGAAGACTTTGAAATCTGAATTACGGGCTTAACAAAAGCAGGGAACTAATTCCTCCTGTCAGGGCTGGTCACTCAGAGCAGCTCCTGTTTCAATATCGTTCTAATAATTTGCTTTTGCATGTTGATTTATAGGGGTAATAGAGCGTGGATTGGAGCAACCTTTGTTTTTAAGGAGTTGTTGTCCAAAAGAAGAGCAGTTGACTTGTGCCCTTCACATAAAATCAAGGGAGGAAAAGATATTCATCCTTCTGAGGTCAAAAAAGGGGCGTTGAGCCGACAGATGAAAAGCCTTAGCTTGTTGCCAATATTTAAATGCAATACCACTACCTTAGTGTTTCACATCTCAAGTGTCATCTATTATAGGCCTCATTACCCCAAACGTTAAATGCTGTATCATCTCGTTTTCCCTGCTGTAGTTCCCTGCCAAGACTCTTCCATCAGAGTAGGAGGGTGGCTTTCTGTCAGAAATGGCAAACCCTACTCCCTTTTGTCACTTCCCTTCAAGTTTTTCGGAGTCCTGCTGTGTCTCCCAGGGCTCTGCTGCCCTGCTGGGTTTAGCAATGGTGGCAGCAGGCAGCTGAGGCTGTTCATTTGATTTCCCTGTTTCTCTGCTGGGTTTATGGAAGGTGACCAGGCTCACTACCTCCTCTGCATTTTGAGTATACTCAGGCACGGGGATGAAGCAGGCGAACCAATATTTTTTCTAGAGTGATCTGTGCTAGAGGAAGACATTACAGAAACAGAAGAGTTTTTCTTTTCCTTCAACTTCTCTGCCCCTGGAGAAATGGATTCCAGTTCAGCTCCTTGTGCATTACAAGAAATGCAATTAAGCAGCCTCTGTCTCTGCCATCGTAAGCGCTCCCTAGACATCAGCTCGGCTGGCTGAGGAATGGGTAATAGATCATGTCCTCAGCTCTTACGCAGAGGAAAAGACAGAAATGGCACAAAGATGTTAAAGTTCCTGGAAAGAATGCAGAAGCTGGTTTCACCCCTCTTTTCCCAACCCCGGTCCACATCCAAAGCTCCTCTCGCTGTACTGTGCTTTATTGGTGGGCACGTGGTCTGTAGAGTGCCAGCAGTCTCACACAGACTTGCCTTCTCAGTTATCCCCTGGATGGGTTTCTGTGTAATGCCCTGGGGATCCACAGTGCCAGGAGTGCACCTAGATACGTGCCTGTCCCCATGAGACCTTCATCCATGTGTTGGCCTGCTGCAGTCATCTTCATCTGCAGGGCAGCTCTGGAGGTGTTTGGTCAATTTGCTTCATAGAATAATTTGGATTGGAAAAGACCTTTAGGATCATCAAGTCCAACTGTAAACTTAACACTGCCAAGTCCACCACTAAACCACGTCCCTAAGTGCCACATCTTCATGGCTCGTGCCTGGGCAACCTGTGCCAGTGCCTTACCACCCTCACCACTCGCCAGTGCCAAGAATTTCTTCCTAACATCTAATCCAAACCTGCCCTCTGTCAGTTCAAAGCCATTCTCCCTTGTCCTGTCGCTCCATGCCCTTGTAAAAAGTCCCTCTCCAGCTTCCAAGATGATCAGTTCCATGAAGGCAGCAGACATCTTGGAGAAGAACCCACCTACTTGGAGTGGGGATTGTCTGTCTCATAAATACTGGGTTTTGCTTCCCACGCCCTGAGGGCAGATCTCACTTCAGTTTTCCTTTCTGGTGTCTTGAGTAGTGTTTTTCTGTTTTCCTCCTTTTCTATTTATTTTTAACCAAATGGGGGAGCGCAGTGTCAAACATGGACACAAACCAGCACAAGTCAGTAAATTCAAAGTGAAGGGTGCAGCTGCATCGCCGGCATCTGCCACGGGGCCTTTTTCGCTTCTGCTGGCGAGTGACATGTCACGGCTGACAGTTTGTCAGCCTTCACTTCCCATTCTTGTCCTTCCACTAGTTTGCATGATAATCCAGCCCTTTGCCTCTGACAAACACAGCCAGGTTTTAATTGTGTCCTCTGTAGGAGGAACACCACCAGCGTTCAGCCCGGCCTTAACTCTCCGCAGCTTCTCCCCTCATAAACCTCCTAATGTGTAATTAGGAGGGAGCTTTATGGCCAGGCTCTCCTCGTAGGCCGGAGGAGAGGGGAAGGCGGGTTTTTAAGACCCAAATAACTGACAGCTCTCCATCTCCCCCGCCGTGGGTTGTTAGTGGCTTGAGTTAGCAGAGCCAGGAGCCCTCGCCACTGACTGACAGTTTTATTTAGCATGGAGACCCTGATTAATGGCCTGTGCAGCCGGGCTGGCCCGTGGGGCCGTGCATGGCTGCGGTCGGCAGCGCCGCTCCGACACGGAATGGTCGGCACCCAGCCAGGAGGGCTGGACCTTCTTTTAGGTCAGAGGTGGTTTCACCTTCCCCTGTCATTCAGATCTTCTCCTCATGCCTGTACCTCAAGAGCAGGTGGGACGAAGGTATCAATGCCAGGAGGTGAAGATCAGACCACCCCTCAGCAGGAATAAGGACAGAGCTGGGGCTGGTGGAGCCTCGAGAGAAAGAAGCAGCAAGATAAAATTAATCTTTTTTTGAAGAGCCCTCCCTTTTCCATCACACATTCAGGTTTTTTTAAAGAGGCCGAGTGCCCAGTGAAAGGCAATGGGAAATGAAGACAGGGATTGATGTTACCAAAGGAGAAGCAAGGGCAGCCTCCCTTGAGCTGTTGCCTGGGACTGGCTGGGCCCTGCACATCTTCACATGAGTCTGGTGTTGCAAACTTTGCTTTTTTCAGTAGTTTCTATGAGTTAATACCCAGCTGATGTCCCAGCCACAGTATGTGCATCTTTCCTCCCTAAACTGAGAGGAAAATGCTGTGTGTGGTGCACTAATGATTTTCTCCTGAACTTAAAGACCAGTCTTTGCTATCACAGGTGACCTTCTAATGAATTCTCTTTCAGCTGAACTTCTAACATTTAGAGCACACCTAGTTTTGGGGGTTGGGGGGAGAGATGCAATGAATGCATTCAGTGTGTTCAATATTTAATCTTAAAGTTCACCACTGGAATAAAGTGCTTTTTTAGTTTGGATATATCTGACTGCGATGCCCATGTACAAAGAGGGGTCTGAATGTTCCAGATGGAGATAAGATGAATTAATTGAGGCCGTGGAATTAAAAATATTGTTGACCAGGACTTGGGAAGCCACATACTATGCTGTGCATAACATTGGCTTGGGGTCAGCAGTGTGGAAGATGTAGGACATCCCTTCTCCCAGGCTGCCACCTTGCAGACTTCTGACCACTGTAGCTGCATCAGCACTTTTCTGGGATCCCAAGGATAACAAGCTGGGTCCCATTTAAAGTCAAAGGGGGGTGGGCCAGAGAATACACGGCCACCAGCTGGAGCATCTCTGAGTCCCTGTGAGACAGAAATCCCTCTGAAGAAACATCACCAGGATCCTTTGCTGCCCCACAGGATCACCACCATAGCCAAAGGGACAGAGATGTGGAAATGCAACACTGACTTCTCAAGGGTAGTTTTCTCAACTTACTGTGAGCTTCACAGAGTGGTTAAATGTACATGTCTTGGTCTGTTGGATTTTCTGCACTGTGCACCCTGATAGGTTTGAGAAAATGAGTGAGAAAGTGCATGTCTGAACAGTTGTGTTTGTTGTAATGAGTGCTGAACATTCATTTTTATTGTTGCTTTTCTTCTCCCATTTAAGTGGCTTTCAATGCAAACAAATTGCTTTTCAGACAATTCACAATGGGCTCAAATTCTCTTATTGCTGTTTACAAATGTGTTTATGAAAGCTTAGGCAATTCTAGCAATTATGGCAATATTTTATAGTCGTGAGATGCATCTCCCTAGTATCGGTGGTTGCAACAATCCAACTTTGAAAATGCATCCCTTACTTCACCCTCTTCAGAGAAACTAAATCCCAAGCTCCCTTTTTATTACACTGTAACTTTACATGGTAGAAATAATCTCGGCTTCTATTGCCCTGTAAAAGGGAAGTCAATATTTTATCTCTTGTTTTATAGCCATTGTAATACCCAGCTAATACATAACAATGGTACATTATGATAACTTCATTATACTCTGATCATGCTGGTGAATAATGTATTGGTCTGAATTTTAAGCATGGCAGGAAAATTACCTATTTTTATTGTTCTTTGTTTTTTTCTCAAATGCAGCTGGAACAATAACATTTCAGCCTGCTTTTTGCATCCACTGAGACTGCCAATCCTCATGACCAGAAAAGAAGTAGTCTGGGGGTTGTTAGTCTTTGTGTGTGTCTCTAGACATGCAGCACGGTGCAAATTACTGAGCCAATACTTACTGATGCCAGAGTTAAAACATTCACATGGAAATGCACCTGCAGTGTTAATCAGTCCATCTTTGCTGCTATTCCCTGTTGCACAGGAGTAGGCTAAGGGCCAAATTTTGCTCTGTTACACCAGCACAGTTCTGGCATCGCTGCAGTGATTCCAATTAGTTTACACTCAGGTGAAGGCAAAGCAAATGAGAACAGATTCCTGCCTTACACTGCAGCAGTGGAACAAGTTGCTGAGGATAGTGCTGCTGGCTCCTGCTTTATTGTTACCTTCATAACACCTCAAGCTACAGAAGTCCTGCTGCTGCTCGAATCTCACAGTGCAGAGGACTGTCTTTCAAAGCAGGCAGACCCTGCGCTGGAGTCGTATCTATGCAGAGGTTATCATCCTATTCCCATAGCTGGGGGACATGCAGAGAAAAACAGACATTGCTGGAACAGCTTTGATAACTGAAAGTAAGAGCCCAATGGGATGCTTGTGAGGTCAGGTCTGTAAGAGCTACGCTGGCGTTTGGCCCCACGCATAGACAGCGACTCCGTTTCCTCAGCGAAAGTGCTGGGCACAAGTTGTTACTGGAAGGCAGTTTGGTTAGATTAATGTTTGATTCCTGCCCTCAAAATTATGGAGTGACATTTTTAATTATAGTTGGATTTGTTCTTACTGGTACCAGCATCCATCTTGTTGAAAGTCTGTTCCATTGTAGTCAAGTGAGTAGAAGGTTGCGGGAATGGATCAGGGATGGGAATGGTGCCTGGTCTGGATGTGCGTCAGGATCGAAGTTATTAAGGCTGTTGAGAACGGAGATCAACCTAGTGAAACACTCCCATCAGAATGGCATTGTGCTTCTAACAACTTTGAGGGATTTATAATACAAAGAAAAACCTCATTCCTGTTTAAAAATGTACAGCACATAGTGCAGCTCCAGCAGGCTCACTCTGCAGGCTGTGCCATGAGGAGAACATAACACTATTGATATCGTGGAGCAAGCAGCACTCCAGTGACACCAGTCCCTCGGGCACCAGTTTACAAAAACTTCCCAAAACTTCCATTAGTGCAAGCCTCACCTCTGCGCTTCCATAGCGAGGCCATTTTTGCAGTGTAAGAAGTAGGCAAAACCTTTGTGATCAGGACTCGCTAATGCAGCAGCTGCTTTGGGTTTACCTGCACTGCAAAATGCCAGGCGTGCTGATGAGTGGCCTTACCTCCTGATCAGGAGGGGCCCAGATGGCTGGGCAGCTGCTCTGGCCAGCTCAGGTCACTGTGGGTGCTGCTGCTGATTTTAGAGGAGATCTCTTCCATCTGGGCTGTGATAAGACCCCATCATGAATAAATGCATTTACAGATGGGGCCTTGCAGGGCACTCTGACATTTGTGTGCATCACAGAGCAGCCTTCAGGTGAGTATGTCCACTGCCTGCAGTTCCATCACACAATTGATGACACCCTCTTCCAGCGAGCAGGAGGAAGTGCCAGGTCACACAGCTCATGCCATTTCTCTCCTTACTGCTTTCCTAGATGAAGGACTCTGGGATATGTTTGTGAAGGACATCCCTCGCAGTGCCACCTCCTACACAGTCGGCCTGGACAAACTCAGACAGGGTGTCACCTATGAATTTCGGGTGGTGGCTGTCAACGAATTTGGCTATGGAGAGCCAAGTGTTCCCTCCGTGGCAGTATCAGGTAATCATGGATTTTTTTAAAAAAGTATCTTTTTCAGTGGAATTTTTTGAGGTTGGGAGAGAAAAGGGGAAAAAAGAAACAACCCAGATCCTCCAGTTGCAACAGATAACAAGGGCAGCGTGTTTTCACTTGTTTCAGGATAAAAGTGGAGTAATGTGGTGGTGAGTCAAGGTTTGTAATTACAGTATGCTTTACTCTCAAGAGGAAAAACGCATGTGTGCCATTTTTAAGATTGACAAAGAAGCTACTCAGAGTGTTCATCTGTAAGATCTCTTGTCATAAGACTAATTTACACAGTCTAGAATTTGTTTACTTTTTCTCCATTCCTAGTCTGTTGTGTTGTTTGCTCTGCTTTCTTCTTTTTTTTCCCCAAGATTCTGGGATAAACATTTTCTATGTAATTTTCTCAAAAACATGAAGGAGTAGTTTCACAAAATTATTCCTGATAATCCTCTGTGCTGGCAGTTCCAGTCCAATGTGATGCCTCCAGTCATCCTTCATCAGAACAGCTCATTGGTGATGCTTTTGGGCTCTTCCCACCCTTCCTGCCCTCTTGTGTTTATTCCCAGTAAACAGGGCTATGGCCTAAACATGCTTCCAAAATCCCTGTGAGCAGCCCAGAATTCTGGTTTTCTGAAAGAACTTCAATACCTGGAAAAGCAAATTCCCCTCAGCTTGCCAGGGCTGGGCAGCTGGAGTTCAGTGGCCTGTGGTGAGGTGGGAGACCTTGCTCTGGGGACAGCTTTGCTGGGTCTCCTCTCACCCTCCCAGCTGTGCTCCAGGTTGCTTTTGAGCAGCAGGTTTCACCCTTACTGTGTCAGCAAAGACAGGGGGAATAAAAGAACCTGATAAAGCGGCTTTGTGATTCAAAATTCTGGAGAGTCCTGAGAACCTGGCAATGCTCCAGTATCTGGAGTGGCTTTTATCTCTTTGCTGCTCCAGTGAAAAGCATAAACACCATTCAAGAGCTACCCAGAAGGCAGGAGCAGCAAACGCTGCTATTGCCATCGTGGCTGCGTTTGTCCTGACACAATTAACCACTTAGCCCAGGAGAGCTTCCATGGATTTCAGTGTGAGTGCTACCCCAGCTTTTCTTCTTCAGGACAAGGGCATGGACAACCCACTTCAAACACCACGAGTCAGTGTTTTTCCTATCTGTGGTTTTGCAGAGGCTGTAACACAATGTAAAGGATCAGCAATCATGTCAGTCTTTCCTTTCCTGGAAGACATTATTCCCTCTGAAGCTGGGCATGCAGCTCCTTGTGATGCTTTCTATAAATAAACTGCTTGTTTGTAAGTTCTCCACTTGAACAGAACTATTTAATTCACCTCCTTTTGATGCTTCAGTGTTCCTCTCAAATTGCTGCATGAAAGTAAGAGGCTTCTGTTGAGATTCACAGTCATAAAAGTATAAAGCATTTTAGGCTGACCACTTCAGCTGGCACAGGGAGGTATAAATTGCCCTGAATCTGCTCAGCCCAGCATGGCTTGTGCAGTTTGCCTTTAGGATTTTATTGGCCTGGACTGGCCTCCTAGTGAAGAAGAAAAAGGGGCTGCTTTTCCCTGCTGTAGAATACCCAGTGATCTGGAACAAATTTAAGCTCATATTGTCAGGCTAACAACAGTCTTGTATGCAGATCCAGGCTCAGGACAGTCAGGGAAAGAGAGTGCCTGGGTTTGGTGCTATGAGGGGTTGATGTTAGTCTCCTGGCATTGCCCATTCCTGCCAGGTGGTGTTCCACCTTCTGGACTGCAGGGGAATTATATACAACTGCTGGCTCATGCTCCAGCAGCTGCATTTTTTTCCCAAAGCTGAGGGAGCTCAAGAGAAGACAAAGAGAATGTCACCGCAAGAAAATAACAATACTTATTACTTTAAACCAAGATTGGCAAGATAAATCCAGAAAGGGGAAGTTAGTATCATTTTGTGTCTTAAATTGAGGTCAAATGGGGTGAAATGACCTGAGATTGCACAAAGTCCAGGCAACTGAATTGATACCCATGTGCTGCACATCAGGCTTGGCTGAGCGGATGGGAGGTGATAAAGAGCAGCAGTGAATGCTGGAAGTTGGAGTTGAGGGAGGTACTGAAAGACACTGAACCAAGTGTACTTTTTTGCCTGTCACTGGCTATATTTTTCAAACAGCTGCTGAGCAGCATTTTGGCAAGGCAAGCCTCTTGAAAATTTGACTAATCATGGGTCGTGACAGATGTATTAGTGGTTCCTTTGACCCAGGGAGTACTAAGCATAACATAGTAGTCAAGACATGTAGGTGTGCAGAGCCATGGGAAGAAACCTGCCTCTCTTCTCTTGGTGATAACTTCTTAGCTAAGGGATCCTGGAGTCCTGCTCCAGGTGTGTGAAAGGTGCTTGTAGAGATGGAACAGGTTGCCCAGAGAAGTTGTGGCTGCCCCATCCCTGGAAATGTTCAAGGCCAGGTTGGACAGGGCTTGGAGCAACCTGGGATAGGTGGAAGGTGCCCCTGCCCATGGCAGGGGGATGGAACTGGATGATCTTTACGGTCCCTTCCAGTCTAAAGCATTCTGTGATTCTGTGTTGGAGTTGTGATATACTCCTGTTCTCTGCCATCTCAGAAGTGTCAGAAAGGCCCTCAAAAGTGCCCAGTAGACTATGTGACATCCTTTGAACACCTCTTTCTCCTGAGCACCGTTATCAATGCATTGTTCACTGTGGGGAGGAAGAGAAAATTTTGAAGGGGCATAAAGAGGAAACGTAATTTGTTTTTTGCTCTTTCAGCACAAACAGAAGCCCCTTTCTACGAAGAGTGGTGGTTTCTGCTGGTGATGGCTCTCTCAAGCCTGATCCTCATCCTCCTGGTGGTGTTTGCATTGGTCCTGCATGGCCAGAGCAAGAAGTACAAGAACTGCAATGGAGGTAAGGCATCATCTCCACGCTGTGCACACACTCTCAAGACTTGTGAGAATCGGAAATATCTTCCCTTTGAACCCCTGATTTCATCAGCATGGACTGTCTCTATTTTGTTTGGCAGAAGACTCAGATCTTTTTGCTATCTGATTTGGTAGAAATGGCTTTTCCCCATAATCACCACTGGATCAGGGGTTGGATACTCACCAGCCATGGGCTCAGACAGGACAGCATCTGGAAGTCCCAGGGACTGTAGCAAAAGCCAAGGACTCTGGGTCAAACACATGGCAAAAGACCACAAATAAGGAATCAGCTGAGACTTTGTTTAGCTTTGTCATCATTCCCTAATAGATGGGGAGAAGGATAAAGATTCTGCTTTTCTATGGCTGCACCCAGTGCAGATATTCTAGATCTGTGTGTGTGAGGACTGTATCACAATTCCTGTATATTTAGAGTGCCCTGCATTCACATTCCTTCCCTAAGCCAAGCTGCATTTCCTGGGCTGGGGTCCAAGAAGCCAGGAGGTGTCTTGGTTAGACCTGTTAGACTTTAACACAAAATAAGCATCAAGCTTTGAATTTTCCTTTAGTTATGATTTTTACAGGTCTCCTTTCTTGAAAGGAAACAGGAGCTACCTGCTCTATAACAGGAATGTTAAATAGTCCCCTTTCAAAAAGCCTAGTTCTTGAGCTCTGAAAATTGTTTTTACCTTTTCTTCTCCCTACATGATAAAGTCCTGGAAGGGTTGTTCACATGTGTATTTCTCTGATAGGCTCCTCCACCTGCAGCAAGAATTGCTCTGGTGCCAGGAGGTGCCAGAAAAGGCACGTTAATGAGTAGGATCGGGTGGATGGGTCTTTGCACTACCTGTTCTTAGGGATTAATGTAATGAAGTCTTCCAGGCAGTATTTAGTAATTCAGTCCCCAAGTGAAGATCTTCTCTTTCTTTGTAATTCACTTCTAACAAGTGTTAGAAAATCAGATTTCAGTCCCCTGAGATATGAGATGTATGAATACCGTGGCATTTTACCGAGTTAATACTATTACATATTTGTATGCACAGCTCATAGGAAATCTCTCATCTTCTTAGTTTTGCTCTGTGTTTGGGGGACAGACATGAAAAGACGGGTCTGACCTGTACTGTCAGAAATCCGTGTTCACAGAGTTTTAATGCAGCACTGAAATTGGAGCCGAGGATAAAGCACCTGCTTGCTGCACAGTGGCAGCTTGTACCCAGCCCTTCTCCCTGGGACACGGGCTGAGCTCACACCTTTGGGATTACTGAGAAGGAACATGAGAGGGAACAAGCTCCTGCTGTATTTGATCACAGGAAATAATATACTTGGCTGTATTTTCCTTCTTCTTCCCATCCCCTGTCCTTGTTCCTGCCTTACACTGTCCACTGATTTCTCACATCTGTGTCTTATCCTTATTACAGCTTTGACATCTTTTTCACATTTGCTATCCACTTGCCCTTTTCTTGCTTTCTTTCCTGCCTTTTCTTTTTCTCTTTTCCTTTTCCCTTTTTTCTGTCTTTTTTAGTTTTACTTTCTCTTGTTTTGTTTCAGTCAGCATGAATGGGATTCACAGCACCTGATCTAGGACATCTTCAGTGGCCACCCAAATTAGTCACTTGGTTTCTATTTATAGTCAAAAGACACGAATAAGCACTTTTGGAGCACAGTTTATCTGTGCTATTTTACCTACCTCTGAATGAAATGCATCCATCCATTCATAAATCCTATTTATTCCCCTCTTTTGGCTCCCTCTCCCTCCTTCACACTCCTGATACACTCCTTTCCTTCACTCTGTTCTTAGCTGCCAGTAAGAAAGGTGAAAAGAATTTCAAATAATTAAAACAGAAAGGACAAGTTAGCTTCTGCAGTTCTATTTGGGGGGAAAGTGCCTTTGTTTCAGCTGAATCTTCCATTGCCTGGCTCTAGGTAAAACCATCTCCAATGTAGAAGAGTCAGTCACCCTGGATAACGGAGGCTTCACTGCTCTGGAGCTCAACAGCAGACACCTGAACATCAAGAGCACCTTCTCAAAGAAAAATGGAACCAGGTAAGAAGCTGGGAATGCCATGCTTTTGGAAATGGCTTTTTATGTAGCTTCAAGCAACTGTTAAATAGGCAAAGGGGAGAGACTGTTATCTGGAGAATCTAAGGAGGACTAATGCCCAAGTCTCTGCCTCAGGCTGTGATTCTGGCTTCTAAGCATGATTTAATTGTGTCATTCCAGAGAAATGACAGCATCCCATACACTCAGTGTTGCATTTCCTAGGTCTCCTCCTCGCCCAAGCCCGGGGGGGCTGCACTACTCTGATGAGGACATCTGCAACAAGTACAATGGAGCTGTGCTGACCGAGGGCTTGGGCCTCAACGAGAAGCCCTTAGAAGTGTCGGAGTCAGAGGTAAGGATTTCCCTTTGCCTCACCAAGTATTGCCCAGTCACTGCAGATAACCCTGCTGAATCCTGGCAAGTCTTTGAAGTCCCAGTCCCAGACCTGCACCATACTGGGTGGTCACTGTCTGCCTGTCTTAGGGCCTTTAAAATGTCCACCGGGCTGTTTTCATCACAAAAAAATTAAATTAAAATTAAAATATCTAAGGAAAGAATAACAAGCAGGACCCGGCCAGGGCAGATTCCAAATCTGGCCTTAACAGATATTCAGTTTTCCAGGGTCAGGTAGAAAGATAAGTGCAGTCAGTCAGACTGTGTATGCTGACCTCTCTGGAAGGGACTGAACATCCTCTTCTGCCTGTGGGCTGCAAACTTGGAGCACTTTTGGGAAAAGGCATAGACACTGCAAAATAACCAGCTACTGTCTGGATGAGGTTAAAGGTGAGATGAGTTTTGGATTGTTGCACTGACTGAAGTAGGAGCTGTGGTTTAAAGTTCACAGTGCCTGTTTTATAGAAGCTACAGCAAACCTCATGATTCAGAAGAGCAGTCTGAGCTGTGATAACCACTGCCTCAGTGACAGGGGGAGTCAGTGGGGAATGAGTAACTTGCCAGGGAGCACATGGCCCCATGGCTGTGAGAACCCAGCATCCAGCTTTCTGGACACCCCAGCCTTATGCTCAGGTTGCCTTTAGACTCTGTTCTCCCAGGAAGGCGGGTGCGTGCCAGCATTATCCATCTGGCTGTGCTCCCTCTTTGTCCCATATTCCCTGGAAGAAGGAACAAAATGCTTCTTGTCTGTGAAAGTCCAACAGTGGCCAGGGGTGAATAGACAGACTTCAAAGGATATCCAGAAAGGTAAATCTGTCTCTAAAATCACACGTTGTCAGCTGAGATCCTGACGAATCTGAACTGACAGCGCAAGAAGCGAGCAGTGGGCCAAACCACTCCAAACGTGACCCTTCTAGCAAGAATAAATCAAGAGCAGCAAGTAGTGAAAGAAGATGACAGTTTTCATCTGTAGTTTTTCTGCACCTGCAGCTACAGCTGCTTTTCCTGGCTACCTAGCTCTCACCTCCTGCTAATTACCACAGACAGCCTGCTGCTTTGTGCTGCCCTGTGGCCGACCCGTCATGAAGGCAGCTTTCCTTGGTGGAGCTCAAGCTGCTGTCTCTGCAATGCACAAGCATTACCCTCCAGATTAAACCCATAGAGCTTTGGTCATGTCACTGTAACAGCCCAGCATTAAACCTGTCATTAAAACAGTTTGCTGAGCATGGTCGTGAATTTAGCACCGGCACCTTTTGACATTAATTTCAATGTCCCATGTGGTATTTCCTGGTAATGTGCAAAAGTCTCCTTGCAGGGTGTCATTATGCCTCCTATGTGCACTGTTTGTACAGCAGAGAAGGAAGTGATTTGGGTGGTTTTCTTCTCAGGCTATTATTAATATTGTTTATTTACTGTGAGTTGCTGTTGAGCCTGAAGGTCTCAGTTGAGACTCTGGTGGTTTTTTGAATCTGGGTGTGCATGTGAGTATGTGCACAAAATATGCCTCCTGTTTTTCCTTGGGGCTTAGATATGCAGCCTGTCTGTATAATGTCTTTGATGCTGGTTTTTTTTGTGGTGGGGAGTGCTTTTAGTCATGAAATGTTAATATGCTCCCAGTAGAGGTAGCAATAGGAGATGCTGCCTTTTGATCAGCCTGAAAATGCTGTTTATATTGGTGGGTACAGACAGGAGGTGAGGCTGGGTTGGGGCAGAGGTGGGTACAGATGATTGACCACTCTCTTTTCAAGTGTTCCTGTACCTATTAGCTCTTCCTGTTTGTCTTTTATTTTCTTTTTGTTTCTGTTCTCAAAGGAGATCGTAACAGACAAGCTCTGGTTTCTGAGAGTTCCAGAATTTCCATCTCTCCTAGCAGGCAGAAATGTTTGCCTTTATATGAAGAGTTAAAGATAATCTTTTTATATAAGAGCTCTACCTAGTTTTGGTCCTCTGCAACAAAGGGTGCTGATGCTGTTTTCTTCTAAAACATCTGTGCATGGTTCTCAAATTCCACTTAATATGATGCACATAAGGGCAGGCAGGCAGGGCCAAAAACTGTGCTTTTGCTTTCAATCCACATGTCATCGTGTTACTGCTTAGTCTTACGCCTTTTGCCTGAGGTGTCAAGAATTTTTATGGAAAAGAAAAAAGTTCACTGGCTTCAAGTCACATGGGGTTTACTGAACATGAAGAAGTCTGTGAGAAACTCTTAGTCTGACTGACTGCACTTAAAACACAGCTGCCTAGGAGCGTTCCTCTGAGCTCCCTCCTGAAGAGGAGAGCCAGAGAGAAACATTGAGGAAATCAAGTAGGACTCTTAATATTCATAAATCAAGTGGTTAACTTACTCCATGTCATGAAAGCCAAGCACCAGTACTGTTAATGAGGTTAAAGAAGTTTAATTGGCAGGTATGGAGCAAGAGACTGCTATGAGTGTAATTTCTAAGTGATTAATAATAATAGGCTTTTAGTTAATGAGTCAAATGGACAAGGCCCTGGACAGATAATCTGAAGAAATTTGGTGTTCACCATGTACAAAAATTTGATGATATATCTGCGATGTCATCCAGCCATGGAAGAGTAGTTTTGCAGAAGGAGAGGGGAAGGTGGTGCATGTTTGTGTGTTCTCATGTGTCCTCGTGGTCTCCCAAAAGCTGTTTCCAGGAGAAAATATTCTCGCAGGTCACACAGGTTATCAGTCAGGGCAGAATGCTGGCGATGCTCTGGTGTTCCCACTGCTCTCTGCAGTCTAAATGGCTTTTGCTTTCTCAGCTCTGTAGGAAGATATTTTAAATTTCCACTTAACACTTCACAGGGAATACGGTTTAACTTGTTTCCAGTAAAGTTCTCCAGCGATTTTGTCAAGTTGAGCACTGTGTAGAAACCAGCTGCAGGTGACATTAAATAAGCAGGGGCTCCTGTGTCCAGAGAAATCTTTTTGCATATTAGGTTATCTTGTCTCTTTTACAGCATATTCATTTCAGGTCAACCAAAAGAAACTGCTGCCATCTACATTTTTAGAAGCAATCTTATAAGATTGTTTCTTTTGCAGTCACTTTAAAAAAGTATATTTTGAACTAAGGCAGCCAACTCTGGTCGCTGACTTGCCTCTGAACAGCACTTGTGCATTTTGTGCTATCAATAATATACCTGAATAGCCTCTCATTTTCTGTACTTGTTGTTTCATAGCCATCCCTGTACCTTTGGTTGACAGTCTGTAATGTCATCGAACACCCAATCACACTCCAGCCCATGGAGGTTTCCAAGGTAACACAGCCACAGTCACATGGAAAGGAGGAAACAGAAAACAAAGCAAAAAGCCCTGCAGCATTTCTATTTACTCAATAGTTTAAAAACCACTAAAAAGTAATCCTCTAGCATAAGCTGACTGTATTGTCATGCTAAACAGGTTTATCTTGCTTCTCCTTGATTTTCATCGGGGCTGTGGAAGGGCAATTCCTTGCTGATAAAGGTAGTTATTGGAGTACTGCTTGGAGCAGACCTTAGAAGATACTTCAGAAACATGGACAGAATAGACAGTTCCTGCCTATTCTGAAGTAAACAGAGAGAAAACATTTTGTATCAACACTAACAAGGCAGGTTATCCTTTCCAGCATCAGTGCTAATGATTGTGAAAAGGCTGAAATTAGTGCAGCTATATATGTTTTATGAGACTTGCTTCTGAAAGGCACTGGCCTTATTTACACCAAATTAGTGTTTCCTTTCAGTTGGTATAATGGACTAATTAGTGGACAAATTATCAGCAGGTGGTATTGTTTTTAAATTCCTTCTTTCAGTTCATGGCACGTCCAAGTGTCACCATATTTCAAAAGGCAGCAGCCCATCTAACAGTGTTCCAAGTATTTCTCGTCTTTATTATGTTGACTTCTGGCAGTCTTGAAAGAATTTGGCTTAGGTACAGAAATTATATTAGTTTTGTGGGTGAGTGTTTTTCTGCAAGCAATGGACAGAAATCAAGTGTCTGCATCAGTACTATTATACCTATAAAGTCATGTGTCATTCTTCTGGATACAGCTTCTTTTCTGCATTTCTCCTTAGAGCTTCCAGCCTTTTAGTTGGCTTTATGTTCCTATGTGTCTCTGGGGACATCAAGAAGATCAATAAGGAGTCACTAGAAGTTTGTGGGTTTTTTCTCCTTATGCTTATTCCAGCTCAACTGAGCTGTGATCTATCTGTTCACCGGGGGGGTTGTTTTCCTGAGGGGTGGATGAAAGTGTCTGAGTCAGTGATGGTGGATTGGGAAGGAGTCAGAGGACATGACAAGGGCAGTGGCAGCCTTGTGCCTTTGATGGAGAGAGCACATCCATCATAGCCAAAGGGATTCACATCTTTAGGTGCTTCTGGTGAGTGATCCATAACCACTTGTCTCTGCTCAGTATGCAGAGACTTTTCTTCTGGATGCCCACATCATCCCCAGCTTCCCAGGCATTTACCTTTCTGTGGAGACAGAACATAATGTTTGGAGATGTAGGTTGATGCAAAGTGCAACAACTTGTTTCCTGCTGAGTACAGAGGGAACCAGGGTTTGGGGATCTTTTGGTGAAGTTGGTTTTGTCTGCAGCTGAGGACCAGCCTGCCTGAGCTCCTGCTGCCATTCCCTGCCACACTGCCACATCTGTGGTCATCAGCAGCACTCCTGCTAGAGCCCCTTACAAAAACAGACAGGGCAGTGCTGGCAGCATGTTCCCACCAGCAGTGCCAAGACTCTGGAGCTGCTCTCTGCACCCACTGGCTGTGAAGTGGTCCAAATCTGGGAATATTCCAGGAATGCTGCAAAACCCACCTGTTCAGGAAGGTCTTTGGAGGGAGCTGGGTGTCGGCTTCCCGAAGCTGGCAGCTGGTGCAAAGGAGTGTTCTAGGAGAGAGACTTGCTGAGTTCCTTCTGGAATAATTATTAAATGCTGGTAGGGCTTTGCTGTATTAGTAATTACATGTCAAAGCACCTGAATCTTGTCATTCTTAAAAATCAAACCATCCATGATTCCTAAAGAGCTGGAGCCTGGGTAATAGTGGAAGGGAAGTTTTGCAAAGCTGTAAAGAGCTGCTTTGCTCAGACTTTTGGAAATCTCTGGGAAAAATTTCTCAGCTCTGTCCATCACCTTCTGAGATGGGAAATGGGCCCGAAATAGTACTGAAGCAGCTATCTAAGCAGAGAAGGGGGATGATGGATGCTGTGCCCTTTTCAAACGATGGTTTGTAAGGCATTTGAGGATTGTTCTTCAGAGACCATTAAAAAGGAGCTTTAGAGGAGGAGAGACAAGTTGTGTGGCAGGAGGATCAAGAAGGATGTGTGTGTGCTGTGTGGTGTCATAGATCAGAACGATACCAACCTTTTGAAACTAATTGCAGCAACTAACAGTTACGAGCTGCATTTACCTGTCTCCCTTGTATGTCTTAGGCAGCTGCTACTCTGATATTTAATTACCTTTAGAATTGGCTGTGTAGATTGTTGGGGGCAAAAAAAAGGAATAAATGCTTCTGCATGCTCGAACTGGAGATTTTGAGGGAAGGCATGAGATATGGAAATGACTGGATAGATGTTAGCATGCTGTATGGGATGTGGCTGTTATTGGTGGGAACGTTAGTGGGAACAGAAGGAAAATGTGCACTTGGATACCATGGCCAAGGCTTTGCCGTGGTCTCTGTGCTCAGCAGAGATGTACAAGCCCTCTGTGATTCCTCCAGCTGCATCACAGCAGCAGCACTTCAGAGGAGGGGCAGATGCACAAAGCTTATCTGGTTACATCTCAATAGAGCTCCCGCTCGATATTGATATGAGCTTTGAAGCTCTCCAGCCACCGTGCATAAATGTTTCAGGGGTAGGATGCGCTCTGAACACAGAGCTGTGTCTGACTCATCCCAAGAAAGCAGCCCCTCCTGCCTGGCAGCTCTTCTTTTCCAGATTTTGTATTCTCTTTCTTCTGTCGCCGCTGGTTGTGCACCTTGTACCATCAATAATCAGCTGGAACATGCAGATGGAGTTGTTTGCCTGTAAAAAAAAAAAAAATCTAATTTTTGCTTAACTCCCTTTCAGTTATATAACTAATTTTCAATACCTAACAGGGTAAGCCACACCCAGAGTACTGTGCAGGTGGCCTGGTCTGGCTACCACAAGCAACAGCCCATCTGGCCAACCTAAGTGGGTTTATGTGGGAGACATTCTTGTTGTCCTTGCATCAGAAGAGAGATGCTCAATTCTAATTGCAACACTTCTGATTATTGCTCGAAGTAGTGATAGTGAGCAAAAGCTCTTGGTTTCCCTGTGGCATCTCTACACTTTCCTGCATCTTGTATCCAAATAGGAACTCCTGGCTCCTGCTGCACCATCCTGCAGTGAATTAGAAGGGATTTCTCTGCATTGTTTGTCACCAGCGTTCATCAGGGGTGATATCTAGGAGCAAAGTCTGGCTAAACCAGAGCACAGTGCTTTTCTACAGCCCAACTTGTATTACACCTGAACTTCAAACCATCCTCCCTTAACATTACACCTTTTGTCAGCTGCTGATATTAAACTTGCCTCTAATTTCTTTGAGAGTGGAACAGGACAAATAAACCATAGCTGCTAATGGCCGATTATTTAATTATATTTTTTCCTGATGCTCCAGGTCACGGACTCAGACTATGAGGACGAGTTGCCAAAGCACTCCTTTGTGAACCACTACATGAGCGACCCCACCTACTACAACTCGTGGAAGCGGCAGCAGAAAGGGGTGAAGCACCCGGCGTCCTACAGATACGAGGAGTGCACCGCCAGCGAGACAGAACCCTATTTCCAGACTGTCATCACGACACAGAGCTCAGGAGGGGTGTACACCCCCACGGGACAGCCCGCGCCCGGCTCCCGGACTCCAGTGACAGGGTTCTCCTCCTTCGTCTGAGCCGGGGCTGGGGGACACGGCCGAGCCACGGGTGACACCCGGGGGGACCCGTCGCAGGGACTGTGTGCGCGTGACCGGGGCGGTGAACTGGGGGTGACTCCTCTATCAGGGTAGAAACGGATGGGAACACACATGAGGCTGGGTTGGTGTTTCGTTTTTTTTTTTTCCTGAAGACAATCAACTCTAAAAAAAAAGAAAAAAACAACGCGGAGCTGAACGAGCTGAACGTTTGTTTTAAAAAAAAAAAGAAAAAGACAGAAAGGAATTCTGAAAAGCGATGATTTTAACCACTTGTGAATAGTAGGGGTTTTTTAACCGCTTTTTGTAACACTGCTTCAGGAAGCAGCTCCCATGCCCTTCTCTTCCCTCTTTCTTTCTCTCCCCTCCTTCTGTCCCACCGTTCCCAAACAAGCAGGTGAATTCCCTAGATGCAATGAGTGACTTCGTGATGTGATTTGAAGAGAAAACATAAAACCTTCCAGGCTCCTTTTACTTTCTTTTTCTCTACTCTTTTTTATTTCTTTTTTTTTCCTCTTTAAATTTTTCCCTTTCATCAAGGTCAAGTAGAAAAACATAGAAAAGGGACAAATTTTTAGGTGAAAAGCAGACACCTCTTCTCTCCTCTTCTCCTTGCTGCTCCCCACATTAGGAGCACTGGCTGATCAACGTAGGCTCAGATGTGTCACTCTGCTCTAGCTCACTACTGGTGTGTTTATACTGAATTACTGACCTGCTTTTCTTTCTTCTTCAAATGGGACCTGCTGCATTCTTTAAATATTCCAACTCCAGGGCCTTTGGAAGAGAAGATGGCTCAAAAGAGCACTGTAGGCAGCGGTGGGTGAAGCAAATGGGAAGAATTCAGATGCAAGGTCAGTTTATTTTTGGCGTGGCTCTAATCCTCCCCTGTGGACTGCGTGTACCATTTGAATCAGTCATTTTTTAAAAGTCAAAGGACACAACCCAGCAAGCCAGAGGAATTTTTCAATTAAAATTGCAGTGACAAGCTAGAGAGTCTACTAATTGATGAGGGGTTTGATCATCAAAGTTATCCTGCCCTGCCAACAGAAGTTGAGCATCCGTTCTCACCCAGACACTGCAGTCCTGTTTACTGGTCTGTAAAAAAGTACACAGTGACAGGGCTTGTTTGATTTTATTTCTTTTAGTACAAAGACACATCACACAGACTAGGAGAGTTTTGGTGTCCACAGGTGCCTTTTATTGATTCTTCAGCTTCGTATCTGGGAGAAGCAACAACATGTCTCCAAATAAAGCTAACCAGGTTTTTCAGGCATTAGGGTCATGAATTACCTTGTGCATGTTTACAGCCTGTTTGTGCACTTGAAACTGTGGCCCTTGGAAAGAAGAGAGGGGAGTTTTAGTTTATCTTCGATCCTTTTGTACAGCTCACTTTGTTTTTTTTCTTTTCTATCCTTTTCCCGAGTCTTTCATGTTTTAGCAGCAAGTTATTCACTCACAAGGAAGTTGTCAGAATCCAAGTCCAGCCCTTGGACCTGAACAGTCCTGGTTCACCAGACTTTTTATCACAAGGGTTTCAAAGGTGAATTTGGAAGGAGGCGAGTCCTTGCCACTCCAGCATCTGGCATTTCCTTCCAGGTGGATCAGCCAGAAAAATTGGTGCTTGCTAAAGTCCCATCAGGGCACATGTGGGCACTGTTACTGTTGAAAATTGCCCCTGTCCTCTCTAGGGATGTTGTTTTATCTCATCTGGGGATGCAGGACATCTGTGGCATGGGGCAGTGGTGTCTTCAAGGCAGGTTGTTGAAACCAACCTGCCCATGAGGCCTGGTTGGAGTATCCTGGTGGCACCTCACCAGAACAGTTGAGGTTCAAGGGCAAGCTCAGCCTTGCTGTCACCTTTCAGTGCCTCTTGGACAGGGCAAAGGATCTCAGAACTGCTTTTACTCTTTGGCACTGCCTCTGAGCGCTGCTGCTCTTGGTGCATGCAGATTCTGGATAGCTTTGGCACTGGATTGCTGTTCCTCTCCAAAGGCTCCAGAAAGAAAAAGTCCAAAACCAAAAACTCCAGTGGGTGTGTTTAAGGGCTTTTGAGTCTGGGATAATGATCCGCAGCTCATTAGATGGCAAGGGATGCACAAAGACACGGGCTCGAGCCAAAACCCTGTGAGTCATCCCCCTCTCTGCACCTGGGTAGGATGTGTGTGGGATGGAGAAGGGGCTCCAAAGAGGATGACTTGGAGTTTGCTGGAAGAGGAATGCAAAGCAAACAAAAAACCCACTGCCTTCTGTGCACTTTGACTGTTCTCTTAAGCCATATGGACTTTGCTTTAATTACTGAACTGCCAAAATTTGTTTGCAGTCTGAGTTTTTTGTTTCTTAGACAAAATTATCTACGTGGCTTTCTGTTTCGTTTTCTTTTTCCTTTGTTATTTCGTGCATCAGATTACGTATTTTAAATGCCTTGGTTTTATACATTTGACATAGCAGTGCAATTGCTCTTGGAGTTTTAATGGCGCTTATCCAACAGGTATGAGAGGTAGTGCTGCAGGAGGAGCCTTTCAAGGACCACTAAGTACTTTGGGATATAGATTAGTAGGAAGCAGATCAAACACTGAAGAGTTTGCTCCAAAGGAAAGCATAGTGTGAGTAGCTCCATATCTCCTGAATATTGCCAGATCAGAATTGGTGTAAGGTGCAGTTACTCCCTGGGGCTGATCTGATACCACATTGAGCAAAAACAAAGCAAGAGAACCACGGGGAGTAAAGGAAATGGACTTTGTGGCCACTGCTCTGCTGAAGGACAACACGGGGAGCAGCATTATCTGTACAAAGCAAGGAGAAGAGACTGTTCCTTTTTCCTCAGAACCAGCTGCAAGTAAAAAGCCTGAGCTTGCTGAGGACCTGCTGAGTTGGCTGTATGGCTCTTTTCTTCTGACTGCTGCCGAAATAACAGGTTACGTGTGATTCCTTAGGACCTGTTGATCCAAACGACGGTGTTTTGTTCTGCTCTCATCCACACTGTTGTCGCTCTGGGTTATGTTTTGTTTAGGAGTTGGCTGTTCTCACCTGGAGGTTTATTTTCAATAGGCAGTTGCAGAGTGTGGAGGTGCAGTGCCCTGCTCAGCCCTGAGCCGAGCACAGGACAAGTGTTCTGCTGCCCAGGATCCTGGGTAGCTACATGGATGATGCCTATGTCTCCTTGCTGATGTGCTGTACTTGTAAAATATGGTGAATGGGTAGGTTTTATTTACTTCAGATATCAGGTAAATTGTTTTATCTGGAAGGACACACTCCATCAGTTAGCAAGAAAGCTCTATTTCACAGCTGCAATCTTTGGGAATTGCAGCCTTGAAATACAACTTTTAAACATTAGTTGTCATGTTCCAGTAACTTCAGCCATCAAATCCACTTCCATTTCCATCTTCCTGTTTGGAACAGTCTTGAAAAATGAAGGCTTATATTTAAAACGCATTCTTAGGATGGTTTATTTTTATTTATTTATTTACCTTCCTCTTTCTCAGGTCTCTTGATGGCTGTTACTAAAAAGTAAAAACAGCATCATGAAATGGCCAAGGGAGACATTTCAGCAAACAGTTTAACAGGAGCTTGTTTTTCATGCAATAGCCATAGCAATATCCAATTTCCTGCAGGAAAAAAGTGCCCAAGTCCTCACCCTCTCCCAGGGCTGAGACGACACCAACCACAGCTGTCAGCAGTGCTCCCAGCACCTTGTCCCTGTCAGAAATCACGTGCAAAAGTGCACCACGTGAAGGAGCTGTACTGTTCCAGCCCACTCCAAGTGGAGCATTTTATCCCTCAGTACTCCATATCAGACCTGGTGTGTTCCCACCACAGCCCACACCCTTGGGTGGAGCGTTTTCCATTCCCACCTTTTCATGCTCCGATGCTGGTGCAGGGCCAGGACTGTGGGTGCAAGTGGCAGTGGTGACAAGGGACAGGAGAGGGCACTCTCTTGCTTTCATCTCTATGACAGTCTCTTTTTCCCTACCCTGAGAGTCAGAAATGCCTTTGTGGGGAGGGCAGGGAGAGGTGAGAGCACAGAGCAAAGGGTTTCATCAGCATTTACTTAAGGAATCACACTGTGGCCAGCAATCCCACTTTTGCTAGAAGTTGGCATTACTGGAGAGAAGAAATTAAAACATACCCAAAAAAAACCCCAAAACAGAACAAAACTATTACCCAAAAGGATTTTTTCCTCTTCATTTTGAGTGTTAAAACCAGTGATGTTTTGCAGATGGGCCAAGATCTCATTTTTCCTAGTTATACCCAGGTCTCTGCCAGAAACTGCTGTAGCAATTTTTTAGACTAAATATCCAAGCCTATCTTGACATGGAGATACATTTATTATCTTTGTCGTTGCTTCCCTCAAGAAATCCATTGGGTCATCCAAAGATTATCCAATCTGCTTTCCAAAAAGGGAGGAGAGAGGGACGTTTATACATACAGAGCACCGATGTCTTTTCCCACTCACTGCTTTCAGATAAGCAGGCAACTTGTTTGAGAAAAATCCTTTTAAAAAAGGAATTTGTCGGGAAACTTTAAAAAAAAAAAAAAATCACCAGAGAGGAAAGATAAACTTTGGCAGAGTCATTAGAAATCCTGAAGTCTAGAAACCTGGGACATGTAAGACTGCCAAGACCTCCTATCTTTACTGATCTCCTGTATCAGTAGCAGCCAGAAGGGCACACACACAGTGAGGGGTGGTATTTGGAGAGGAAAAGCCATCACAGAACATCTGGTACATGGGCAGGTTATACTGCAAACAGCTTCCCTCAGCCTGGAGTTCCTGCTAATTCAGTCACATTCCCTAGGTTGTTTGTATAGGTTTTTGCCAGCTTGTGTGGAATCCACACATCATCATGGCATTACTTGAGGTGGGGGAGGGTGTGTTGGTGTGGCATTTAGACAAATCCCCACGTGTGATGATGTGGTTGTTTGTACAGTACCCATTGAAACCTTCTTATAGAAACTACCCCTGGATTTAGGAGCACTGAACATGTTGGCTCTGAAATGGCTCCACCTGACAAGTCATAGAATCCTAGAATGGTTTGGGTTGGAAGGGACCTTAAAGATCATCTCCTTTGAATGCCCTTGCAATGGGCAGAGACAACTTCCACTAGACCAGGTTGCTTCCAAGCCCAGTCCAGCCTGGCCTTGAACACTTCCAGTCCCTTGGATTCTTTGTATTTCTGTACTCCTTTTCTCCTCCCCCAGGCCCCCCAGACAAACAAAGCTGGCTTGCACTTT